ATAGTTGCGTTTTTTTACTCATTTCCAGTAAAATCCAGTAAAAGTTTTTACGAATTTTCATGTTTTGGCGTTTTCGTACGCAAAAACTTGCAAAGTAGGGGAAATTGAGAGAGCGAAAAATGACAGCTGAAGTTGCAAGTTTTTACTGGATTTTACTGGATAAATTTTTACTTGTAAGAATTTGCCAGTACGAAAAACAGCTGATCGCACGTTGCTGTCTAAAATTTAAACTAATAAGGAAACTGTTTGTGGATTTTTATTGTGGAAATTTTCAAAACAAACATATTTAAATATAAAATATATCGTTTTATTGGGAATATGCTGCGAATAAACAACCAATTTATCAGCTGTTCATGAATCTTGCAAATTATTACTGGAAAAGCGTTCGCGTACTTTTTTGCAAATTTTTTCTATGAGAGCGAGTTCTTAGAAATAAAGTTACTGGAGAGTTACTGGCAAGTTACTGGATAATTTGTAAAAAAACACAACTTATATCTGACTACTTCGGACTGATGAGAGTCACTCTCACTGGGTCTTGCTCTCTCATTTTAGCTGTCATTTCCGAGTTAAGGAACGCTTTTTGGACTAAATCTGACTACTTCGGACTTTTTCTGACTATTTCTGGGAGATAAGGAACGCTCCTGTTATCTACGTTCTTTGATGGCGCTCTGGTATGACAGTCGTGTCAGCAGACTCAGCTTTACGTACCGGCAGGTTTAGGTTCCTGACTAATTTCAGCTTTATTCTGTGTTATCGATAATATAATGGCAGCATTGTTATTTATCTGTTTCGTAGCAATCTTTTTTATCTCTAGGCCCGCCAATCCTTTGCGTTTATGTATGTGTATATTTTCGGCTCTAGATTGTATTGTCAATTAAGTTGATTGTTGAATTTTCAAGGTATAGTAGAGTAATATAAGTTATTGCAAAATGAATCTGGAGCAGGCGGAGAATCCCTTGGAGGAATCTAGTGTAACAATGGTTGATGTGTTGCAAGAGGAACACGAGTTGGAAGAGGAGTATAATGCAGTGCTCGGTGCGTCCGACGAAAAATGCTGCACATATGCGCAGGGTCCTATTAAACGACAGGCTCTTTACTCTTGCCTGACCTGTTGCCCAGAAACTCGCACAAATTTGAACAAATGTGCCGGGATATGTTTGGCTTGTTCTTATCGTTGTCACGAAAATCACGAGCTTATTGAGTTATATACTAAGCGTAATTTTCGTTGCGATTGTCCCACGGAACGCTTTTCAAGTCAGCATCGGTGTTTACTCAATACAGGATTGACCGAACTGCAAGCAAAGAATTCAGAAAATTTGTATAATCAAAACTTCCAGGGCTTGTACTGCAAATGTCATCGACCATACCCAGATCCAGACCGGACAACCGACGAAGTGATGCTGCAATGTACTGTATGCGAAGATTGGTTTCATTTGCATCATTTAGCCGTGTCAAAATCGGCAGCCAACCTGGTAGAGGCCGAAGCTTGTGGTGAAATGATCTGTGGTGACTGCATGCAGAAGCATCAATTCTTACAAGACTACACAGGACTGGCTCTAAAAGTTATTGATGACTCAGATGAATCGACGGCTAATATAACAGTAACTGAAGAAACTTCTGTAGGCGGGGATAATGACAACAAATTGCGTTCAGATCTCGATAAGAGCATATCGGAAATAATGAATATGAATGGGGACGGAAAGGCAACACCAGAAGAAACCGTACAATCAGATAGTGAACCACATGCATGCGATGAAGAAGCTTCTGATGATTCAGTTCCGAAAGCAAAACGACAAAAGATCGAAAACCATCAAGAAGCAGTAGAAGCAGTAAATGAAAATACAGAAGAGCCATGCCGACGTCCTAAAAGAAAGCAACTATACGAAGAAGGTAAGCTGATCAACAACATTTTTACCGATAACCCATGTAATGAGTTTTATAAAGTTATGATTTAATGGCATAATACATACGAAACAGGATCCAACTGTCGTTTCTGCTGCCGCAAATCAAGCAAAACCGTTTATTTTTTTCAGTATATTCGTGCTTGATCCATTCAAATAGATTGATTATTGTTTGTTAGAAATGTATTCTAGTACATAAAAAGTAGATCATAGTTTTTCTTGCCGTCGCCAAAATAACAAAAACCATGCTTGCGCGAATTTAACTTGTGAAAAAATGTCATACCTGACCAGATGCAAGATTTTATAATAACTAAACGCTCACTTCGCATTAAATTGAGTGAAAATGCTTGACGTAATGGAATAACATCGGCTATGCAGTCCAAAAAGTCGATGGCGTAGTTATAGTCACTACGCTTGAGCAGATTGTGTTTTAGGTCGCATCGGGGTAGGCGAAAGATTTGGTAATTGGACATGTTCTCGACTTCTAGGTCGTTCAGACCGCGAAACATCTGGTTTGGTATAACACGTCCATCAGTAAGTTTGTAAAGGGCGCCTCGCGGACAAATTGCACATTCCTCGGTAATGATAAATACTATCGCAGCGAGACGTTCCTCTTCTTTAAGTTTCACCTTTTCTGGCATATTCGCTGAGATTACTTGATAGTTATCGATTTCAAATGTAGGATCCTACAAAACAAACGTCTTTTCTAATGCACGTACATACATGCGTATATTATAAAGCAAACGTTTTCAATGCTTACCAACTCCACTGTTGTAACCAGAATCGGATCGCCAATAAAAGGTTCACGGCATAAAATAGTCGCTTGGAAAATTTTGGTGCTATGCACAAATGGCAACATCATCCACTGATACCCATCAACCGTGTAGAAAAACTTACGGTCTTTTAGGCAATCCTGCGTGTAGCCAAAAGCGATGTAGTAGTCGCTTGTTATAGCATTAATACGACCCCAAAAATGCATGCTAGATAAACGATTTTCATTTTGTAGAACAATAAGCGAATTTTCAATTATAACCTTCTGTTCGGGTGTAAGTTTTTGACCGCAATACATGAGGCATTCGAGTCCTTCATTGAAGTATTTAACATTCATTTTTATTCTCTATTGCCGCAATAAAATTACTTAAGAAATGTTGGTGGTTTTAATTCGTTTTAATTTCACCATGGTTTTAATTGACAAATTAAAACATGACAATTGATTTTTGGTTATTTTTATAGAGTGATTTTATAAGGAGTATACTACCCATGGCACAATAAAATTTATTTAATATAAGTAACTTGAGTGGTCTTCAATAACTACATTCTTGATTGCTTCTCTTTGTGTGAATTAATTTTTTTTTACTTTGGCTAACTATTCCGTAGATTTAGAACATCACATTACTTTTAATAGCATGAAATTCTCTATTAAAGTTTCTACTAATTATTATCCCAACAAACATTTTGGTTTGAGCTCAACTTGAGGTTAAGTTGAGAACTAAGGAATTTCACAAATCTCCAACGTTATTTCTCAACAGTACCTCAACTGGAGGACCATAGCGTTCTCAACAAAAATGGCATTTTTCTTTGAGCGATTTTTTGATGCAGTTTACTTCTATTTCTAGGTCATGGATCCCGAGTCTTGGCCCTAGATTTCATATGGCAACATCCGCCGTCTTGAATTTTAGGTTTTTTTGCGATTTGCAAGCTGATTTTGCATTTTTCATAACAAATGGTTGTATGCAAATTTGTAGAAATTTGGAGAATTTAATTTCCCACATTTGTTATATAGAAAGTTTTTGAAGGAGAATTTCATTCTCCACGACTTTATACGATTTTTTTTTGTACGACGCTTAAATCACGACCGGGAACGTGCTAAACATAGCGATGTAAGCTAGCGGCTTAAAATTAATTTCAACATCACGTTGTTATTGTTGTAACAGCATGCAGATTCCCCAGAGTTTTTGGGGAGTGTTGCTGGAGTGACAGTCCTTGGCCAGATATAAATCTGTGTCGTTCCAGTTACGTATACCCGACTGTCGTGGGAACGATCTTCTTGAATATCTAAGAATATTCAACATCACTTCAACCGGTATAGTACGATAGCCAAAATTTCATAGGGGGATCACAAAGATTAAGATTTTAAAATTATCCCATAGACGTCCCCCATTAAAAACAGTGTCGCCTTTTGAAAAATTCAACATGACGTCTAAACCAACCGTAAATTTGATTTTGCTTTACAACATTTGCGCCACCGCTGAACCCAAACATAACAAGTAGAAAAGTCGTCAGTTTTTTTCACCTTTCCGAAAACTACCGCTAAATGGTAAACAGGGGTGGTTGTGCCCCTATTTAAACATCTTAGATAAACTTATATAGTTATAATGTTACTTCTTTTCAATGGATTGATGTTGGTATCAATTTTATGTAATTTAGCGCCATCAAATTTCGAAATATCGAAGTTTCAAGCATGTCGGAAATTTACCGTTATATGAAGAATAGTCCGATTTCAATAAGTCTCATCGTTTTGCTTTTATGTGGCAATCACAATTATCATACCGCGTTTGGTACAAATTGATCGAACGGTTGCCGAGGTACACATATGTGGTCATAAGTAGGCGGTGACGCCCACGTCTGCCGCAGCATCTTTTACTATGCTTTTGATTATTTTGGTTAATTTAATAAACAGTTTAATATTTTTTATATTTGATGTTCCTTTAACTGAAGTCAGTCAATTTCAGAAGCAAATAAAAAACAATTAAACTGTTTATTAAATAAACCAAAATAATCAAAAGCAAAGTAAAAGATGCTGCGGCAGACGTGTATTCTTCTAAGATCACTTCCCAGAGTCGACCGACGATTTTCCACCACACAAATAACCAAGAGCCGCGTTTTGTTATCGGCGCCGCTGGTAATGTAGGTCAACCGCTATCGCTGCTGCTGAAACGAGATAGTCGTGTCACCGGTCTCGCGCTCTACGATATCAAATTAGCGGCTGGCGTGGCTATGGATATCTTTCATGTAGACACCAATTCCCTAGTGGCGGGCTATGATAAAATTTAAATAAACAAGTAAATTTCTTAACAAGTAATGTCCTACACGCCTAAGAGATTTTGGCCGAGTTTAACAAAGCACGCCAGTCGTTTCTCTTCTGTGCCAACTGACGCCCATTAGAAATGCCAAGTGAAGCCAAGTCCGTCTCCATCTGGTATTTCCATCGCAGTGGTTACCTCCCTCTTCCTCTGCTACCACCAGCTGGTTCCGTGTTGAATACTGTCAGAGCTGGAGCGTCGGTGTCCATTCGAACGACATGGAAAAGCCAGCGGAGCCTCTGTATTTTCATTCGCTGCACTATGCCCATGTCGTTGTAAAGCTCATACAGCTCATCATTCCATCGTCTGCGGTACTCGCCATCGCCATCGAGTAAAGCCCCGTAAATCTTTCACAAAATCTTTCTCTTGAATTCTCGCAACAGCCGCCTCATCGGATGTTATCATTGTTCATGCTTCTGCGCCATATACCAGCATGGACATGATGAGTGACTTATAGAGTGTGGTTTGAAATTCTCCACTTTCTCGAAATTACAGTGACGTGGGGCCAAGGCGCGAATGTGCTGACTGTTTGTTTGATGGCAGGATATCCTTCGTCTTGTCCTGGTTTACCACCAGACCAAGAATCGCCCTGTCTGAAACCCCGTTTGGTGGCGAACGGCTCGGAGAGGTCTTTCCAAATTCTGATGGAGCTGGTGGTATTGCTCATCGTTATTTTACACAGCCGTATCAGTCTTTTCCAAGATTTGGCATATTGTGAATACCTGGTCTATGGTGGATTTACCAGGTCTAAAGCCACACTGAAAAGGCCCAATCAGTTCACGGAAGGTGGGCTTCAGTCTTTCACACGCTTTCATACGCACGATAAGACCTTGTAACCTGTGATTAGAAGGCTGATCCTACGGTAGTTGGTGTGAATGGTTAAATTCCAGTCGTCGGGAATGCGTTCATCTGACCATATTCTGCATAAGAGTTGATGTATGCAATTTATCAACTCCTCGCCGCCGTACTTGAATAGCTCATTTGACAGGCTGTCAGCTCCAGCTTTGTTGTTTTCATATTTCATATTCATCTTTATTCAGTCTATGATTTACAATCTTACAGACTAGAAGTAGGCTAAAAAGTATTAACGGTGACTAGTATATGTACAATTACGAAAATAGGTTTCAAGAGATGATTTAAAAAGACTTATTGGAAACGAAAAGTCGATATCTAAGCTCTTTGAGATATTGTTAAATTCCACAAGGCCTCGAAAAATAGGCGCAAAAGATGAGTAGTTAGTCTTAGCGGCAGGAACGTAAAAGGGGATGCGAGAGCGAAGAGTTCTGAGAGGCACATTAAAGGTAACCTGCTCGAGAAGAGATGGAGCCAGAGATAAGATCGAAGACGAATAAGAGTAATTGGGTACGCCTTCTATTTTCCAATGATAGCAAATTTATTAGTTTACACCGGGAGTAATATGAAGGAATCGGATCTGAGAAGTAAAGAGAAGCGAGGGGAGGGAGAGGCGTGACAATTATAAATAGGGCTCCATATAATAGAGGCATACTCAAGTTTAGATCGCGCTAAGGAATTAAATAATGCTTTCCGAGTGTAAGGGTCTCTAAAATCCTTGGCATATCTACGAATAAATGCTAAATTACTATAAACTTTTGGAAGTAAATGACAAACATGATTCATAAATGAAAAATTCGAGTCAAACACAACACCAAGATCAACAAATTCACTAACAGAGGTAAACAGGAGCTAATATCGTTTATAAACAGGACAAACAATAGTGGGCCAAGAATGCTACCCTGGGGTACACCTGATGTTACAACAAAGGGATTCGATTTACAATCATCGATATATACAGACAGAGTCCTATTTGTAAGGCCAGACTTTAACCAAGCTAGGAAATTAGAGTGAACACCAATGCACTCCAACTTGTGTAGCAATAATAGGTGTGGTACCTTATCGAAGGCTTTAGAAAAGTCCGTATAAATGGTGTCTATCTGCGAGCCATCTTTGAAGGAAGAAACACAAAATTCTGAAAAATAAGCTAAATTAGTGACCGTTGAACGACCAGCTTCAAAATCATGTTGGTGGGGCTCAATCATTCTTTTGGCAAGAAAAGAGAGTTTAAAATGTATCACTTTTTCGAATAGCTTTGAGCAGACAGACAGTTTCGAAATAGGCCTATAATTTGTGATATCATTTCTTTTTCCAGATTTAAAGACTGGGGTTAAAAAGGCACGTTATTGCTATTCCTACCTCGTCATAGTCAGGCGGTGGAACATCGACTCCATCATCATCGACTGGGGGCTCGGGTTCTTCTTCTTTATAACTTTCCGTGCTGCTGCCATTCAGTAGGGTGGAAAAGTGTTCTCTGAATATCGGTAACTAGGTCGCCATTGTTGTTCTTACAGAAATATGCCCTTGTCTTGAAGCCTTCCGTAAGTCGCCTAACTTTCATGTAAAATCTTTGGGCATTCTTCTGTCGGCCAGCATTTCAAGCTCTTCGCACTCACGTTTCTCTTCTTATTGCAGCAAATACGTCTCGCTTCCTTCTTCAGTTCCCTATAGCATAAATAAAANACTCAGTCCAAAGTAGCACTTTTTGGCAGGAGTGATTCTGCGTTGGATTTATATGCTGACATTGGGCCGAATGAATAAAAACCCCGTACCCGTGCACAATTGCCTTTTCTTAAAATTGCATACCTTTTAATTAAATTTTGTTTGAATAAATCTAGTAAAGTGTAAGAAATTTTAAGAAAAAGCAATTGCTTATTTTTTATTCATACGGCCCATTATTATCGGTGTTAATGCTGGTTCCCAAGTAAACGAGATTCTCTACTTTCTCGAAATTATAACTGTCAACAGTGACGTGGGTGCCAAGGCGCGAATGTGCTGACTGTTTGTTTGATGACAGGAGATACTTCGTCTTGTCCTCGATTACAACCATACCCATTCGCTTTGCTTCCTTATCCAAGGCAGAACAGACCTCGCGGTTTTTGTTACCGATGATGTCGATGTCATCGGCATAAGCCAGCAATTGCACGCTCTTGTAGTAAATTGTTCCTGAGCG